CACTGGTCCAGCAGGATATGCAAGGTAGGACTGAAATCATAATAGTGGATGGAGGGAGGATTAAAGCACTGTGTTGTGTGTTTCATCGGTGCTAAACTGTCCCGTTGGTATATCTTCTCTTCTATGCGACCCCTCTGTATGGGAACGTCCAATTATCCACAGAGGGGCTCTAGATCTCTACTTTGACCCCTTTCCTTCATCTCGATGAGGTTTTTAACTTTTGAACATCTGATACCTGTTCCTGTCGATACCTCATGATCACACAGGCTGGTGTGCTACTTCCATGTGGGTTTCCTTTCTTTCTTTCTTTTTTATTTTAAATACTTTTATTGGGGGCTCTTACATCTCCCATCACAATCCATACCTTCATCCATTGTGTCAAGAACATTTTTACATATGCTGCCATCATCATTTTCAAAGTATTTTTCTACTTGAGCCCTTGATAGCAGCTCCTCATTTTCCCCTTTCCTCCCCCCGCCCTCCTTCACTCATGAACACTTGATAAGCTATAGATGATTATTTTCATATCTTATATTGTCCTCTGTCGCCCTTCAACCCCTTTTCTGTTGTTCATCCCCCTGGAAAGGGGTTATATGTTGATCTTTGTGATCAATTTCCCCTTTCTCCCCCCACCTTCACCTTATCCTCCTGGTATCAGTATTCTCATTGTTGGCCATGAGGGGTTTATCCAACCTGGATTCCCTGTGTTGCAGACTCTTATCTGTAGCAGTGTGTGTGTTCTGTTCTAATCGGATTTGTAAGGAAGAATGGAGGCCATAGTCGGGGGTGGGGGGTAGGGAAAGGAAGCATTAAAGGACTAGAGGCAAGTTGTGTGTTTCATCTGTGTTACACTGCACCCTGACTGACTCAGCTCTCCCTTGTGACCCTTCTGTGAGGGGATGTCCAGTTGTCTACAATTGTTTCTCCACTCTACGCCCCCCTCCCCTTCACATTGGGTATGATTTTGTTCTGGGTCTTAGATGCCTGATACCTGATCCATGTGGGCTTTCTTGATTCCCTGCTAGATGGCCACCTGCTTGGCATCTTTTATTTTAATAGCTGGGCACCATCTGCTTTCTTCACCACATTTACTTATGTACCCAGTTTGTCTTCAGCAATCATGTCAGGGAGGTGGGCATCGCCCAGTGCTCCCGGAACCCCACTAGATCAGTAGGGAGATAATCATAAAGGTCGGCAGACAGACCTGGATGGTTGGCCAGGTAACTGTTTTCCAAATTTCTTGACATAAACTAGTCAGTGTTTCCAGCATTGTATCCATTTGCTGAAACATCAAAATTAGTATTGTCAATTCCAGGAGACTTTGTTTGTTTGTTTGTTTGTTTGTTTGTTTGTTTGTTTTTGCTAATGTGTTCATGAAACTTGGACTTTCTTCCTTCACTACCATTGGGTCTTGATCATATGCCATTGCCTAAAATGATTCAATATTGACCAATTCGTTTGGGTTCAGTGACTGTATATTCCCTTCGATGTTTAATGTTTGATAGTCCATTTATGTTTCCTATGGCATTCAATATTTTTCCCTCAGAGAATCTTTCAATACTGCAACTCTAGGCTTTAATTTTTTTCTCCAATTCTTGTATCTTGGAAAATACTGTACAGGTTCTTTCCTTCTGGTTTTCTAACTCCAGGTCTCTGCACAGTTCATTATATTTTTCACTTCGTCTTCTTTAGTAGTCCTGTTCAGCTTCTTCTGTTCACCTCTTTTTCTTTGTTATTTCTTCTAATGACTTTACTCTACACCCAAGAGCAAGTTTTAGAGTCTCTTCTAACAGCCACTTTGGGGTTTTTTTCCCCTGGGGTTTTTTTTGTTTTTGTTTTTCTTCATGACCTTTTGCTTCTTTCATACATGATGTCTTTAATATCATCACACAACTCATCTGCTATTAGGTAATTGACACTCACTGGGTCAAATCTATTCTTAAGATGGTCTCTGATGTAGGTAGGCTATAATCCCAGTCTTGTGGATTTGGACACATTTTCTTTAGCTTCAGTGTGAACTTGGATATGAGCAATTGATGATGAGCACATTGCCCCTGGTCTTGTCCTACTGATGATACTGAACTTCCTTATTCTCTCATTCTAAAGATGAAGTTGATTTGATTTTTGTGTTTTCCATTTGGTGATTGAAATAGTTAGTTTATTGTGCCAACCTGGCCAATAAACAAATGTGGGGTTAATTGAAGGGCAGAAGGATAAATGGCTCAGTGAGCCTCGCCTTTCTAGTTCTCGGGTCTCTTGCTTTCTGACGGTCGGACCGGGGTGCAGGTGCCTTAGCCAGTTCCCTGCATTAGTTGGCAAGACTCAGTTCCTGCAAGACATCCCTGAGGAGAAGCCACATGGACCTACCCCAATGCAGTCCTGGGTGCTGGAGCAGCCGTGTGGAGACCCCTGCCAGCGCTGAGATGCTTACACATTCACTGACTCGGCTTTCCTCCTGTAGTCAGCATCATTGCGTCTGTTTTGTCAGATGGAGGAGGACTTTGTGGATTGGTGTTGGACATATGGGTTAATGGGTTAATGTTGGGCTTGTGGGCTTGGGCAGCACTGGGTTGGGATGTTTTCTTGATGCACACTTAACCTTTATATAAAACTCTCTCTTATACATGAGTTTCCGTGGATTTGTTTCTCTAAAGTACCCAAACTAATACAGTGATATCTATATATATATATATATTTCTATATATCACAGTTTGCGTGTTGAAAAAAACGATATTTCCAAAGAATAAATCAATGGTCTTGTAAAACTCTATCATGCAATGACCAACATCACTTTTTATCACCATTGCCATATTTTCCAATTACTGATCCCTTTTCTTTTTTTCCCAACTTTCACATCCCAATTACTAGCAATTATCAGTGCATCTTGGTTGCATGGTTGATCAATTTCAAAATGGAAAATTTGGTTAAAAAATTCAATATATGTATCTCTGACATGATAGGTTGGTGTGTAAATTTAAATATCAGTTTTATTCACTGGTCTCTCTTGAAGGCATATTAATACTATCCTAACACTGACTGAATTGTACTTCAGGATAGACCTTGACCTTTAAATGTTCTTTATGACAATGAATGTGATGTCATTCCTCTTCAACCTGCCATTCTGAGATAATAAACCATATGATTGCCCAATTAAAAATAACCAATGCCAGTCTGTTTCATATTCAATACTAGAATATTAATATTTATGCAGTTCATTTCATTTTTTATGTCATCTAATTTTCTAGATTCATACTTTGTACCGTCCCTGTTCTAATTCGTAGTGGGCGTTTGCAGGTTTAAACATTCTGAATTGTGCCACAGAAGCAACTGAAGGTCCTGAAAACCTAGCTCCTCCCTCCATGTCATTGAGGTTGACTTTGCTTTGAGGAGACAACTCTTCTCCAGCTGTATTTTGAGTGCTTTCCAACCTGTGAAGTTCAGCTCCCAACATTATATCAGACAGTATTTTGCAATATTCATAATGTTTTCCTTGGTCAATTTTTAAAAGTCATTTTATTAGGGACTCATACAACTCTTATCACAATCCATACATACATCAATTGTGTAAACACATTTGTACATTCTTTGCCCTCATCATTCGCAAAACACCTGCTTCGTTGGTCAATTCTTAAAGACATAAATCAGCATGTCCTTCCTTCTAGTCTGTCTACCGAAACTGCTCTGTCATGGTTGGCCTTGTTGATATTTGAAATATCAGTGCTGGAACTTCCAGCACTACAGAGAGCCACAAGCAAGCACCGCAGTACAACAAACTGGCAGACATCTGGAGGAAGAAAGTAAAGAGTTGTGTAAACTGTCAGAACCAATGCTTTGGCCCTGACACAATAGAAACTGTTTACCTATTTCTCATCTCGTTAGCAACCAACATAGGAAGGAGAGTAAAGAATACAGTATGATATTTAACTATAAAGAGGTGTTATTCCAAAGGATTAATATATTATTTTATTTACCTTTATGTCTGGAATTACTGTGAATTAAGGTATAGTGACACAAAATAATGATCAGAACAACCAAATGTATATTGTTTTCATTTGAGACATTTATTTACTAAGGTGTATATTTAATTTAAGACATTTCTAAGGATTGAAATGCAGCTCTTTTCTATTATTTGATGCATCATTACTTTAAATTGGCAGTAGAAGCCACAGATTCAGAGACCTCAAATGATTTGTCCAGGATCATAAGTTCCTGGTGTGGGTGCAGAATAAGTCACATTTTATCCCTGATGTCTTGTTGGATCACAGTGCAGATGAGGCTCAAAATGGCTCCATCTGCCAGGCGAGGTGATTTCTTAATGTAACAGTTGTCTTACAATAAAAAACAGTTTACCTATAAATATAGGCCATTTTTTTAAAGACTAGAAATAGACATTGTAAAATCTCCTTCAGCAAAGTTACTCTTTATTTTGTTTTATAGCTGATTGATTTCTGTGGCAATGCTGAATGTTAAGCCAACCTTTTTTTTTGGCATTTGTGGGTAACTTTGTTTTATCCAAAATGTGGAATGGAAATATACAGACTTGATATTTTTGTCTGCAATATTATACATATTGCCTTGTGCTAGATTTTTAAAATTAAAAAATCTTTCCTGAACAGTACGTAATAAATCATTCTTCATCATTAAGGCAAATCGGTGGCTACTTCTGACAGTGTAGTGAAGTTCATTTTGATTTTTTTTGTCTGACCGAACAATGATGTCACGAGAGGAGAAAGATTAAAGTTGCCTCTTTAATTGTGGGGTGGTATTCGTTGTTCCTTCATAGAACGGAAACAAAGTGAAAGTCTTAACGGTGCCTTTCCAGAGGCCGGTTGTGCTTTTGGGAAAAAGTGCCTAACCAGTTCTCGAGGCGTTGTTTCCAGATAGAGCACCCTGTTCTGAAGATTGCATGTTCTGTTTTTGAAGCAGCATGTGGATGAGAGAGTCCGTTTAATGAAATTCAGAGTTGACTCATCTCTTTTTCTTTCTTCTCTCTCGTCTAGCTCTTTCTCTTTGTTGTCTGGAACTTTGAGCTCTACATGATCCCACTGGTTTTGTTGTTACTATTGACATGGAACTACTTCTTGATCGTATCAGGGAAAGATAACAGGCAACGTGACACAGTAAGTCTCTACTTTCTGACTTGTTTGAGTTTGTGTTTTATTCCGAGGCCTCTGAGAAGATCAACATTGCATTTGGCTTTGTAATCCACAAATTCCGCCTATAACTATTCAAGTTTAAAAGGAAATTTTATCTAGTCAAAATTAACACTTTGGCTCTAACACAATTTAATGGATCTGCTTATTTTTAACCTTAGTAATCTTATTTGGAGGTAAAGTAGGAAGCACACTAAAGAATACAGTATGATATTTAACCATAAACAGATGTTATTCCAAATTATTACTATTTAATTTTTATGTCTTACATTACTCTGAATTAAGGTAAATGTTATAAAACACTTACCGTAAGTATTCATGCATAACCCGAGTTTTTCAGCACATTTTTAATGCAGTTTTTGTGGTAAAACTACATGCCTTGGCTGGTATTCAGGTCGGCTTAAACTCGAGTATATACGGTAATGATCAGACCAAGCAAATATATTGTGTTTGTTTCCTTTGTGACATTTATTTCATTATTTACTACGATATATATTTAATTTAAGACATTTCCTCTGTGTTTTATCATTGGAAAGAGGACCCATTGATGGTTATTGGTATGGTAGCGTGTATCTAAATACAAACAAACAAAAACGCACTATCATTGAGTTGATTCTGACTCATAGCGATCCTATGACTTTCCAAGAATGTAAATCATTACAGGGACAGACAGCTTCATCTTTTTCCCTCAAACAACCTAGTGGGTTTGAACTGCCAATCTTGTAGTTAGCAACCCAATGTCTGAATTCACAACACCACCAGCACTTCATTGGCAGATGTTAATTCAGTGACCATCCACAGCAAATATCCTTTGCTGTGTCCTGAGTTTATGGTGATGCCAACTCAAAGACAAAGGGCTCTCGTTGAAGCTAGGGGGAGTTACGGGAGACCACCTCCCTCTGGAATTTTTGGAAGTGTCTTCAGCATGTGAGTCATGCTTACTCAATTTTAGGGATGCCATGAGCACATTATTTTTATTCTTTTGCCAACGTTTGTCCTATTTGATTGCCTCAGTCACTACACCCCTAGTAAACACAACTTTTTCCAGAACTTTCTCATACACAGTATAATAAAGAAGTTGGGGAAGAGGGAAAAATCTCCAAACACAATGTCATCACTTGAGAGTTGTTGAGAATAATTTAAAGCTATGCCAAACACAAAAATCTCCTTTGTAGTCCTATGTCCTCATTAAATTACTGTGATTTTTATATCAGCTTTAAAGGTCTCCATCTACTAATCAGGAATTTTTTCCCAATGACTTATGTCCATGAATGATATAAGAAACCGTTATTTTCATCATTAGTGTTAAATTATCATGCAATACTTTATTATCATCATTAGGATTGCACAGATGTACCTGTGACATTAAGGGACCTCCTTTGAAAATGGTAACACAGCAAAATATACTTCTTTAGAATAATTTTGTCATCAAAGTAAAAGACAAACTCTTATGCATGACCACGTGGCAGAGTTGCCACCAGCCAAATGTATTTCCCTATATTATTTGCATTTCTGTCTCCCTCCATAGGTTATAGACATGAGAGACAGATTCCCTGTGCATCTCTGTATTTCCCACATTGCAATGCATGTGTTTTGAAAATTAGAGGTGTTAAAAACATTTTTTTGGTAAAGTATATCAAATCAAACGTGAGATCGCTAATGGAGGTTTCAATGGTTAGGCAACATCAATAAGCAAGGCATGATTATTATTGACAAGAATTTTATGGATATGTACTTAAATTGCACACTGAGAGACAAGCCCCAGATGCTATAAGCATTGGTGTCCTGGGGACTAATAGGTACTTTTGTCAATTAATCCAGGACATTTTCTTCAAGAAAATGAGACTGTCTCAGACAATTGCTTTCCTGTCCCATTTTTTCCAGGGAGATTATTGAGAGAAGAATATCTACTTTTCATTCAGTTGCCTTGAGACAAATTTGCAAATATGATTATTTGCAAATAAGAAAAATGGTAATTTAGTTTTAGCTTTTTAGTCCTCTGAGGAGGCTTATCTTCAATATTTAGTAATTGGTAGGACTATTTTTAGTGAAAATCTCTCTAACTGTGGATTTTGCTGTCATGGGTGGAAGAGTCCACTTCCAGAGAGGAAATAATATTACAGAATAGATATCCTTATATTTAAAATTCTCAAATTATTTTTATATTGGAAAGTTACATGCTATGTAAATTTTGCAGCCTATCCTATTCTTTATTTTATTTTTCAAAATATAAATCCAAAATAGTATTTACCAAATCTTTTCCCTTGGGGAACATCTGTTCTGACAGATTCCCTCTTTGTGCCATGGACAACATTTTATTACCTAGCACAGCCCACTGTGAAACGCTCTACAGTCTAACTCTCATGGAATGCCAACTACACTCCATAACTCCCAGTAATTGCCTTTTATTTGCCCAAAACACACATATCCATTTCTGTTCTTTCCAGGCACCAGAGCAGCAATCACAACGTTTCATTCAGCTTCTTATTCACTGGCTCAGTTGAGACCTTACGTAACTCTTAAATCCAATTTGTCTAATTATGTGTTTTCTGGCATACCCAGCTGTGCATTTGAAATGGTTGCTCCTTTTGAAAAGAAACCTGGATTATTCTTTTCTGGTTAGAGAGTTCCTATCTGTAGATTATACAGATACTGGAGAAGGGAATGCGTTTGTAGGGATTGCCATGTGCGACAGATGACTCTACTGCCTAGCCC